CTAACTACCCACTCTTCAGTATTTATTATCCAACCACTCTCTACAGCAATACTTCATTTACCCAAACATTACTAATTACCAGCTGTTCCTAAGAGATTTTCAAGTTAAGTACAATTAGTTCCTAAAATACCCATGTTTTAAAAAAAAAAAAAAAAAAAAAACAGGATATCTATACAATTGTACCATTTTTAAGCAAAACATCATTCTTGATGTAAATTAATCCCAATTATTTCACTCTGGGACTACTAAAATGTATTGGGATATTTGGGCATGGAGGTCTCAAGTAAGTGTCTTGAGCAGATGCACTTTTGGAGCTCCTCTGCTAAGGACTTTCAGTATTTAAATCCTGCCCTTGCTTTCATTTAGTCTGCTGTCATTTCTACCTGGAGCTCTGAATTCTTGAAGCAATAACCACCCTCTTTTTTAACTGTTGTTGGGAGCAATTAGGCATCTATATTTGTTAGAACTGATTTAAACAAAAGAATGGACTGTTGGTAGATAAGAGACTAAGAGTGCTGAGGTGAGGAGGGGATGAAGCAATCATTGAACAGTCTGGGCCCAGGCTGGCTATCCTAGATTCTGAGCTGTTTTTTGCATCACCCAGATCACTGTACCGAAGACCTCTAGCTGAACAAATGACTGAAGTTCAATTTCTTTTTATTCATGGGTGAACTTACCAAGTGCAGTCACACAGAGCTGTTTTTTTTTTTTTTTTGACACATATGAATTTGTTTACAGTTCAGATAATATATGTAGAAAAATTATTAATACAAATTAGTAAAGGAAAACGAGCAGGCTTCTTCAAAAAATATGTAAAGTATCATAGTGACAACCTGTTGAGAACTTTCTTTAATGGTGGAAAAGATACTAATTCACCAGATTAACTGAGTTTTGGAACTTACTCAATCTTGAAGATATTAAAAACTGCTATCATCCTAAGCATAATTTTCCTCTTCCTTCTAATCATTTTCATATTTTATAGTAACTTTTTACATTATTAACATCTGTGTTTGGCTAATAAACCTAGATTTTTTTCCCCCCCAAACACATAAATTCTGATAAAATCTAACAAAAAAGATAGGAAGAGAGAAAGAAAAAGAAAAAAGAGAGAGAGAGAGACATCTTTTATGTGCATACCAATGTTTTCTTCAGGCCAAGAACACACAGTACATGCTATTTGCATGGCCTTAATGTAAGTGTTCTAATTATAATCTACTCTTATTTACCTGTGAAATATTCAGAAGAAAAACTCAACTCTAGGTTGAGATTCTGTGACCTAGAAGGCCTTTGGCCATGTAACCTTTCCTGGTAGTTAGGTTGTTGTGTTCTCAGAAACCACAAGCTATGTTTATTATAATGACAGGAAAAATACACAAAGTATAGTCAGATTGCTTACTATTTTGGATTACCTTAACTAATGTTCCCTTTTATTAGGGCAAATAAATGAAAATTAGCTTTGGTCAAGCCTTTTTGTTAAAGTCTTTTTTCTTATTATAAGAATTCTTGCTGGGTGAGGGGATACATACCTGTAATCCTAGCATTTGGGCAGTTGAGATAGGAGGACGGCAAGTTCAAGGCCAGCCTGGGCTATATATCGAGACCTTGTTTCAAAAGCCAAAAAGAATTCTTGAAAACAATGTTTTCAAACTGGACATGGAACCAGAAACAATAGTCCAAAGTGAAATTCCTTCAATGTGAAGCAACATTTCTTCATGTAAGAAATGAAGTATTTCCTAACACTCATTTGGGCACACATTTTGCTTTCAGCTTTATTTGTTTTTTGCAACAGCATTTAGGAGAGGACCAACTGACCATTTACAACCTAAACAATGGCTTTAGGGTATGATTAAGAAATGCACCTGGACTTACTCAAACAACACATTTGTTTAACCTGGTGACTTTCCTGTGTCTGGGGTCAGTATTGGTGGGGAGGGAGGGGGAGAAAAGAAGAGCAAATACAACTGACTCACTGAGAACACAAGGGTTGTATTAAGTCCCCTTTGTAATTACAACTGTTTTAGCAGTTTTTAGTTGGCAAGGCTATCATTTAAGTGACCACTATAATTTGGGATGAAATCCCAGGAAATTATGCCAACTTAAGAACAGGAGTTGCATTTCTGAATTTACTCAGCATAATGAATCCACTGAAATGCTGAGTATTCCTTCTTCGGCATAAATGCACATCAAGGCAAAATTAACACTAAAAGGAATTTAGCTACAGAGAAAAAGAGTATCAGAATATTCACTCCCAGGAGCAGGCCACCATTTATTTTACTCTTACATCTTTTGTCTTATGGAAAATTTCAATCATATAGAAAAACATACAGAAGAATGAACCCCCCACAAACCCTCACTCAGTTTCCATAATCATCAACACATGGTACTGCACCCTATTTACTCTCTTCTTTGAATTTTTCAAAGCAAATCCCAGACAACTGATATTTTATTTTATGTAAGCTTTCATTTACAATATATGTGTATATTTTGCTAAAGATCACTTCAGAAATCTCATTGAGCATGAGATGTTTAAACCAACTTTAACCACATCTTGTAAAACGTTTTACACCAAAACCTATCTGCCTAGAAAACGAATTTGCTTGCCTGTAATTGGGTAATTAAAATGACAAAGTAACTGGAAACACATCCCTCTGTTATTTTATTTATGGAGGAAAAAACAGCATTCCAAGATGGAGAAAACAGTGTGTGTTTCTTTATCCTTATAGTTCTAGTCTTTGTGAACATTCCAGTCAATGAGAGAAAAAGTTAAAAGTGGCATGGTGACATCTGCCTGAATGGAACTTGGAAAAACGAGATTGGTTTCTAACAGGCTTAGGTACTGCCTAGCACAAACACTTCCTACTTTTCCTTCACTACACATACAGAATAAAACAGAATACCAACAGACCAAATTTTAGGAGCTTCAAAAATCACTCATCAAGCAGTCTAGCTACTTACAATAATTTATTATCCATCTTAAAGCAAAGATCAAAAGGAACTCCATCTAGCATTTATACTCAATTCTTCATTGCCTGATGACTAATTTGTAAGGGAATGAAGTCTTCACAAGAGAAGCCAAAATAATCTGAGGTGACTTTGATACAATGCCACAAAGGATATGAAGAGGAAGCTGGTAGAAGCTGCAAATGGCTAGGTTCCATTAAGAGTTCTAATAAAAGAAAAATGGAATTTCCCTTAACTGTGAATTAAAAAATGTTAGATGTGGGCAAAATTTAGACAAATGGGAAAAACCTTTGATTTGTCATAGGCTTTTTAAAAAAACTGTTGTTGTTAAAATCTAACTTCAGCCACTGTTACACTTACGTTAATTAAATGGCTTCATCTAAAAAAAATGCAACATTCCTGTTCAAAATCTGGCCAGTCTCATTCCTTCTGATGTTGTAATACTTATCAGCTGGCACCTTTCCTCTGCGTTGTCAGACACTACTGGCTTTCTCAATCTCTTTCAAATTCCTATACTCTGCAAAGTGATTGATTTAGCTTGAGAAATATTAACTTGATATAATTTTTAGTATTGCATATCACCATGGTCAGTCCCATGGAGAAAAAACACCTCTCTTGCCAATTTTTTTGGTGCTTAAGTCAATTGGTCCCCTATGAAACCACTAGAAACTATTTCCTTTTTACTTCCATGAACAACTGGCACATTTTCTCCCCTCCTGAATCCAGACATCTCTGTATTTTCAACTGAGGAAAGTGGTTTTCATTCTACTTCCTACTAGCTATTTTGGCTAGTTAAAGAAATCCCTACCACATGTCTGCCTGTAAACTCAAAGATAAAGATTTAAGCTTATATTAGCATTTCAACTGTGCAAGTTTTTTGCTTCAGAAATCACCTCAAATTAACAGACTTATTGGAACCTTACATAGCATAGAAGTTTTAAACAAGTTTCAGAAATCTTGAAATGTATCTCCCTACGAATATGTGGGGGTGCTAAGCATTTTCTTAAAAATGGCTCTAAGTATGTGTATTTTTAAAAAAGGAGTCCTTTTACAAATATGTGTGAAATACTTACAAGTAAAAGTATGCCCAGGAATTTTTCAAATACAGAAGGTTGGGTGATAAACTGGAACAAGAATGACTATGTGTCTTTATAAAGCAGTGGAATGGCTACATGGAGTCATCACAATGTTTGGTCATCTCTCCAGAAAAGCTCTTGGTAGTGGATATTTCAGATATAATTCTATGCATTGTTTTTTGTAAAGATTATGTATTTAACAAAATAATGATCAGAGCAGTGGAGAAATGGACAATCAAGGTTTGGCAGTCAGCCACTGGGCTCACACCTTTAATACTAGCTACTCAGGAGGTAGATAGCTGAGGGATCATGGTTAGAAGCCAGCCTGGGTGAACAGTTTACAAGATTTTATCTCAAAGATACTCAACACAAAAAAGAGCTTGAGGAGTGGCTCAAAGTGGTAGAGCGCCTGCCTAGCAAGTGTGAGGCCCTGAGTTCAAACCACAGTACTGTCAAAAAAAGAAAAAAAAAAAAGATTTGACAGTCAAAGTTTCACAGATTTTTCCCAGTTCAAAAGCGTGGTTTACTCAATATAGTGTTTGGAAAGAAAACAATAAAACCAACCGAAAACCACTATCACTATCACTACCACAACAAAACAATAAAACACTCTAACTTCCCCCCATCAAGTCTATCTTTTCTAAATTTTTGACATTTCAGCAACAATATATAACTGGATTTGCTTCATTTTGTTTTGTTTTTAGTGGTGCAGGGAATTGCACGCAGGGCCTCATGAATGCTAGGCAAGAGCTCTACCACTGAGCTCATCAGCCCCAGCTCCGCCATTTCCCCCGTAATTAGATTTTTATGCAAATAAAATACAGGTATTTTAGTTCAGAAATACTAATTTTCTGTTTTCTTTCTAATTGCTGAAAATTAAAATTGAATTAAGATTTCACAATTAAAACATTAATCATCATCAAGTAGTCTAACACCTAATATCTAGTAACATGTTTCTCTTACCTTGTGATCATATGGATTGTAAGAATGAAATATACGAGAAAGATCCTTTGTCCTTTGCTTTTTCTATGGAAGAAAAACAGAAATATTTGAGTTGATTAACTTGTAAAAAAACACAAGTGTGTCTATATCTATCTATCTAAAGATATTGTTTATTTAGAGATTCTTGCTTTGTGCAAGGTGAAGGGACAGAAGGGTACAAGTATGGACCAAAGTTACCTGACAGCTTTGCAGGCCATTGTCATAAAGCAGCCAGACAACTTCCTTCTAGGTTTTGTAAGTAAAACAAATTATCAAAAACTCTACTTCAAAATTTGTAACTCAAGAGTCCAAAATGAAGAAAAAACAATGAAAAGACAACTCAACATCAATACACACCTTCAGGGTGATTGCCATTTTATTGTAATTTCAACTGCTGTTACTCAACTAGGCACAGACATGCATCCACTTGAACCATGTGCCTCCTTCCGACCTTCTGGGCATAGTTTGAGTCTGTGCTTGAGTCTGCAGCTGAGAAGATATCTCCATTCTGTCATTACTGCATATACAGGCCAGGTACCTTGCATGGTATATTTTATTCACAGTAGGTGCTCAATAAATATTGGCTAAATTAATAAATAAACAACTACAACTGAGTTAGAGGCATATAACCATACCTGTAGCGACACATAAGCCTCATGTATAGTCATACAAAGAGAAGGTCCTTTGCTTATAATGAGGAGTGCTTCTCAAGCTGAACCCAGGCCATATTCAAGTCCCCTACTCACATCCTGCTCCTCAATGTAACAAGCAAGAAGTATGGGGTTCTCTCATTATAGTCATCTAAAATGGCTGTTTGTTTTCTTAATTCACTGTGATCTGTCTACCCTCTATAACCACCATGAGCAGTTTAGTGGATAGCTCCAAATCTTCTTTGTGTGCATACACACACAATTGGCATTATTACTTCTAAAGAAAGGAGGTCATTCTCTATACAATTGTGAAATTTACTTTTTTCCTCACTTCACATGTGATCCTTGCTAATCTTCCATGCATGTGTACACATATCTGCAATCCTTTTTGGGGAATTCTGGAATCCCAAAGCTTTAGAAATTCAAAATTTTCTGTAGTTTGCTTTTTTAGTAAGTGATACAAAAAAACTGCACAAACATCATTTATTTCTCATCCATCATAAAATCAGGATCCTATATTAAAGTCATTTATACACGATATTAGTTTTCCCGTAGATCAGTTTCCTTGTTTCAAAACTGTCTTGGGAGTCACACTTCTGTTGGCAGTTCTTCAGATTTCTTGGCCTTGTTGTCATATTCTGACACCCACTGAAAATGACCCCTTCCTGCAGCTCAGCTGAAATTCCGCCTCTTCTGTCTCCCCTCTGAGCAGTGCTTCTAGCCATCTACCTCCAAAGTAATTTAACTTCCCCTTTCCCTTGCAGAGCAGAGATGTATCTTCAAGATGATTGGAAACAGTTCCTTTGGCTAATGAAACATTAGTTCTGTGAGCCTTGGGATCTGCCTTGAATGGGTCACTTGCCCATCAAAGTTTTCATTAGCTTATAATTTTCTCTTTCCTTCCCTTACACCCACTTAGTTAGTATAAGGTCTTGGCTTATACTTCAATCAGAAAAAAAATGATGAATACTAACACTTCCTTTGGTAGGAGACTTGACATAATACATTGGGGAAATTATGCTAGGGAAGAATAGGAAGCAGATCAACATTCAACTTAGGGAATGTCCCAAGGACTGATCAGCCTCAGAGATGGCTGGGCTGCAGCTGAGTTGGTAGGTGGATAAGGAATGTTCATAGTTGCTTTGTGTAACCTTTTCATGTGGGTTTTGATTTTATGTCTCTATTTTGATAGCTAAAATCTATCAAAACCTACATACCCCTTTTGAATTTTTTTTTGGGGGGTGCAGATTGAACCCAGGGCCTTGTGCATATTAAGCATGCACTCTAACACTGAATGACACCCCAGTCCTACATATACTTTTATTAGAAGTTATTTTAAATGATTTTGGGAGGGAAGTGGGGGTAAAAGTAAGTAAATAACACTATTTGGGTTAGTTCCAAAAGAAGTCAGCAATGAAATAATGACCTTTTTCCTCACAACAAATTTATTATGTACGAATACAGTAAAATCTTGGCTACGAATAATAAAGATTACATGAATTAGTTCAAATACCTGAAACACTGCTATTCTCCCTCTGAAGTCAGTTATTCAGCCCTTGTTCTAGATTCCAGAAAAAGGGTTGGAAAATTATGGCTCATGGGTCAATCCAGACTACTTCCTGTTTTTGTAAACAGTCTTACTGAAACACAGCCATCCCCAATCATTTATGTTATTATCTACGGTTACTTTCATGCTGCAACAGCAGAGCTGAGTGGCCCCAACAGAGACAATATGACCCACAAACTCTAAAGTATTTGCCATCTAACTCTTTGTCTCTGATCTAGACTCTCTATCCCCAACAATGTCAACATGTACTAGTAGCTTCTTAACCCCAAATCAAATGAAGAATTAACTGTGCAGCAAAATTCCCTGCTCCTTCTACACGCTCACTGAAGGTGGCTCAAGAGCCAATCATAACCTATCTCCTGACACATCAAGATGAACGTAACAGACAACACAACAATTAAGTGTCCTTTCTAGGAGTTTACTTCCCAGGGCAATCTATGTACAGGCTTCTAGAGCATGCTGAAACAGATATGGGACTTACAGAGTCTTTTAGATGTACAAAGTAACCACTGATCACAGAAACTCAGAGCACAGATCCTTTACTAATAAGTCTTAGCACTAGATCCAGGCAGAAGTTTTCACATACAAGTAAAATAGATATAGCCACCATTACCAGTGAGCCAGCTTCTCATCTAGGCAATGTTCAGACTACTACTCTGCAAAACTTGTTGAGCTTTTCTATCAGCAGTGGTAACTGAAACCAAAAGCTGAGCCAGAAGTAGAATAATTAGGTATTTTCCTACTGCATCATAGTGCATGTCTAAATTACCTCCCAGTTTTCAGTCTGTTAAAACAAACAACACAGTCATGCAACCACCTGTTAGTTCTCCAAGTGTTTAAAAAGTAAACATGTTAAACAAGTTGTGTGATGAACTCTTAATGAGGGTGGCCAAAGTACAGTGAGTATGGCAAACATTTCTCCTACTAACCTATGAGGTACCTTCAAGTCACCTTCACCACCAATCCCAAGGCGCGGGCCACAGAGATGAGAGGACACATGCTGAGTCTGCCATCGATGTAGGTGGCAGATGGGTTTAAAAAATGAGGCAGTACAGAAGTTTGGTAAAACTTCTGGAGGTAAACATACACAGCCTCCCTTCCACTGGCACCTCACAAAGTGCTCTTGTATTCCACTCTCAAAGGGCAGAAAACACTGAGGACACGTTTTTTATATTCATGTTTAAACTGCCTTTCAGATAAAATCAAACAAAGCTAAACACCCTCAAGGGAACAATTTTAACAGCCCAGGTTGCCAGGCAATGTAATCATTTCAATCTTTTCAAAGATACACAGCACAGCATAGGTCTGAGAGAGGAGCCACATGTGTTGAGAACCTGTGTTGTGAACACGGAGTTTTACAGTTAATTGATTGTGAGCACTATTTACCACACTTCCTTGTTGCAGTTCCCCAAACTAATTTAATGCTTTTTGTGTCCTTCCTCTAGATGTTATGCTTTCACAAATAAACTAGTATGGATATAAAGTAAAGCCATAAGGTAATAAGACTATAGACTTCATTTCTACATACAGATTCTCAAAACTGATGATGCCTACAAGCTTTCTGAGAGCTTGATATAGCTAGGGTACAATATTAACATTTACATGCTCAGCAAGCCTTCATCCTACTTTGTGTTAAGAAGCCAAAAGAGCACGTTTGAATTTCAATATACTACTTTTTTTCTGGCTCCCTTTCTGGCAGAGTCTTAGAAGTGGGTAACTGGGCAGCTAGCAGGAAGTAGTAAAAGGTAAGAGGAAGATAAAGTGCCAGGACAACAGAAATTGCAGGATCAGTCTGACTAGCTGAACTCTATGTCACTTGAAGCAACCAGACAATGATGGTCTCATGAGGACTAGAAGAGTTATGGTCAAAACAACAACAAAAACTCCAGTTAAATATCAGATTGTAAAGGCAGGGATCTAGGACTGGTGACTTACTAGGAGCCAGGGACAGACACTCAACAGGGAAGTTACAGGACCACAGCCTGAGATCAAAGGGCCAAAAACAGAGAAGACTTTTAAGGTCCTTGTTGGGAATTAGTCAGGATCTGGAAGTTAGGGAGGACAAGGGTAGAGCAAGAAGCAGTAAGGGAAAAGAAATAAACTAGCCAAAAAACCTTATGAGGTATGTGAAAGTGCTAACTACCAAGTACGTGGCCAGACATTAAGATAGGTCTGATGGTTGCCTTAGGATCATCTACCACACTTACTGCAGAGGCAAGTTCTACAATTTGAATGTGGACAACTCTGTGCTCATTAAATTCAGTCTACAATGTGACAATATTTGGTGGAAGAAAGAAAATAATATTGCTTACTAGAGGTCAGTTTAAAAATAATAAAAGTAGGAATAAAGGAAATGAGTCTAGAGATAGTTTACCCCATTTACAGACTATAAGGAAGTAGGCCTAGTGCAGGAGCATGGAGAGCAAAGAAAAACAAACTGTTCAATGAAAGAATGGCTAAATGGTTAGAACACATGATGCAAGACACATAGCAACAAATGATCAAACTTGCATTTCAGAAAGAGCTTCCAAATGTTATGAGAGATGGAGTCTACATGAAAGCAAATACCAGAGGCCAAAGATGGAAGTATGAGAGGCTATTGTAACCATTCAGAAAAAATGGTATCATCACAAATGAAGCTGGGGTAAGGTAAGGAGAAGTTTGGATTTTTGAACTAGCGAAGAGGCAGGATGGATACATAACAGCAGAAGAGAGGGCCAAGCATTGTGGTGTATGCCTGTAATCCCAGCACTTGGGACGTGGAGGCAGGAGGATCATGAGTTCAAAGCTATTTGGGTCTATACAGTGGGTTCCAGGCCGACCTGGGC